GTCGCACACCATTTGCCTCACTATAGCAGTTCTAGAGCTCTTCATACGGCTCAATCGCTATGCTATAATTATTTTATGCATAATTCTACTATTAGTTCTTTTGTTCCTGTATTTCTTACTGGCTGCTGCACTCTGCTGCATTCCTTCGCGCGCGACGTCTCTCTCGCCGCAACACGACAATCTCGTACCTACTGCGCCACATCCCAGGAACTCCGATACACAGTCAGAAACCGGCTCCATTAAGATCTGACCTCGAGTAGCATTTCTTTGAGCTAGTGATCAAACCAGAATTTGTCAATTTGCGAGTAGGACATTGCAGTCGTGCTACAATTTCATTCCACTGCAGGGCTATAAGGTGTTGAATGTGAAACGCTGGTGTGAACCTGGTCATTGCTGCGCTATTGAGGTTCTTGAAGCCAGCGAAGCTTTTTCCAGAAAAAGCCTCGAGCATCTCGGTGCTGTGCTCGTGGAGACGTCAAGCTACATTAGATTGGTCGATAATATCTAGCTTTCTCTCAACGGGCCAGGACAAAGATTTGAAGATCAACGTGACAGATGGTGGCGTAACGAAGATCACGGTTCGCTATATTCAGCCTCGAAGCGAGAGGTTGCAATTCTGACGGTTGCGACGCCTCCCGTGAGGGGGCTAGAAGCTGCTTAGAGTGGGCGCTTGAGCGACATGAACATCTGTAAAACATGATAGCGCAAAGTTGCAATTTGACAGTATTCAGCACTCATGACAAAGAAGGTGAAAGTTGAAGTAAAGTTCTGTGACGGCTGTTTAAAACATCAAACGATTTTAGGCTGCAAAAGGTGGTGCCCTAAACGCCATTGCCATAACCTGCTGGGACGGCCACGATTAATTCCCTAACATCGAGTGGTACGGCTGTGACGCATACGGTTCGATTCCCAAGAAGGGTACTACTTAACTACCTCACATCATGCTTTTAGAAAGCCTGATCTTACGTTCGTCTTTGGCCAGTCTCCGTGACTCTAAACTATAGTGTGCTATTCATGTCATCGGCACTTCAGGGCACGGCTCGACGGACCCAGTTCACAATAATTTCGGGACGCACGAAAGTCGGCATATTTGGAGAAACGTAAGGCTTCAAAAAAGTAGTAAAGTTAGGGGACGAGAATGTGGTGACAAAACTCGCATGGAGGGAAGATTTTAGACGAGCTGGCTACAATAAGGCTTTCGTGGAATGAGTACATCCTGATGCGAACTGTGCAGACTCTATAGCCCCTACAACACCATGAGAACTCGTAAACTCTATCTTGACCATTTATCGGTCCGACCATTTCACTTTTGCTATCCTGGGGTGTTACAGATTCATCTTAGGGGGTTCTGCTTTTTATCGAGGTTCCACATAGACGGCTATACTATGGTATACTAAAATTCTTGAGAGCATTGTGCTGCACAGAACGGGAGCCTGACTTTTTAGCCTTTATGGCTACCCATAAGCAGCATTTGACTTGGTATTGCCCCATGTTGCCTTCCCAAAAACCATGGATTCTTACTCATACGAGACTTCTTAAACCTATAGATCGTAAACTGTACCTTCACTGAAGCAAGTATGTACTTCGAACACTATAAATCTGATCTATAAAAAAGAAGAAAATAGAAATCAGCAAATCTATGCGAATTTTTAGTAGAGTTAGAGTTACGGCAGAGATGCCTAACCAGAAGTACCTAAGAATAGCACAGTACTTCACAGATTGTGTTGTGGAGAACACAACCACTTCCGAAATCACTGAATCCACACATGCACAAAAAAAATTTTTTTCGTCGTTCTACTGCAAGAAAAAATATTTTTGCATTGTTCACAGAGGGATATTATTTCACCATTAGCTAGTAGCGGTGAACTAAAATGAGCAAACCGACTTTGTGCAATTCTTTCTGTAAAACTCTCTGAACTTCAAAAACAATTCTCGGATTTCTCCACTTAAGTGGCTCTATATTCCAGTTAAGAAAGCGCCTGGAATAGAAGGGAATCAGCTAACTTCTGATTATATCGTAGCAATCATACGTTGAGATAATAATAAGGGTAACACAAATTGACAGAGACAAACAGAAAACCTCAATAAGCTTTGGACAATGAATTCTCCAGCGAAAAATGACGATCTTCTATAGTGAATATGTCGAATTGAGCGCAGAAGCTGTCAATTTGTTTTGTTGTGCAACTGACGAGCGATTTAGCCGCTTCAGAAAGGTGGCAAAGCGTCGACAACACACACACACAATGAACTCAAAGGTAATTTTCACTCAGCCCCATCAAGGAAACTATCGACAACTCCACGCCGTCTCTCCGAATCGACGAAAGAACATATGTATTCGGACACAATGGCATCTCGTAGTCAGCTAGTAAGAGTCAATCTGAGTGCAGCCGAAGCATTGACAAGTAAAAGTTGCCCACTCATAACGAAAATTTTATGGTAAAATTGGAAATTACATAACCAATAAGTGAAGGGAAACATGTTAACCGCTCAGATTCTTGTCATTGACCATTGGAATGTGAGTGTGAGTCCATTCCTTGTTGCACCAACCACTGTTCTTCGTGTTCATTGTGGTGTCCAGGGTGTGGTGTAGTGGCAAGTGGCGCACTACATAGGCACATGGGTGAAGTTTTAAATTGCAAAACGAGACCTTTCCCTTTCTCCTGAGTCGATTCATTCGCACCAGACTGGTCTGGAAGGATAAAAGCACTGAGCTGCACATTCAGTGGTCACCGCAAGACATTTTACGGCCCTAAACGTTCAAAAACGCAAGGATCATCTGCTCGCCCTATCGCTTCTCATCTCACAACTTCTCACCTCTTGTTGCTGTATGGAACGCAGCCACCTCTACCACTACCCCACAACTAACTGTTTGCTAACAACTTGTTCAGAAACCCGAATATGCAATGGCCATCCCAGATACAAGCAAAAATAACGAGAAAAAGCTGACCGGCTTTTTTCCTTTTCTTCTTCTCTGAAGCTGTTGGGTGCTGGAGGCGTGGGTGGTGATCCTTTTGATGCGACAATAACAAAAGCGAATCGATATATTTATCGTAGAGAGAGATTGAGGAGCGTGGGCGGAATGGACCGTACCCAACGCTGGCAGTAACATAGTACAAGTAATACGACGATACCAGCAGAGCCTCATCCCCGCGCTCAGCCCTCTCAAGAATCCACTCGAGAGAGGAGTAAGACATATGGTAATTAGGGTCGGCTCTAGCTCAGCTTCAACTGGTTTAGCTAAATGCGTGAATGACGGCTAGTCTGCTATTTTGGTCAAGAACCTGCAAAACTGACTTTATGCCATTTTGAAATTCGCGAATAAACTCGATCAATGTCATAGCCTATTATTACGGAGTGATCAAGCCAGGCATTCTTTTTCTCTCCCGAAGGCCCACCGCCTCAACGCGTTGGGAGGCTGAAATGGGCGCTCTGTGGGTATGTCGGATTTAATAATTAATTTTGCCTTATCTAATAATAAAAATAATTATGTTATTACAATTTAAAGTTATGTGTGAAATTCTTATGCTTTTCGTAATATGGAAGTTAATCTTGACCGGCATTCTGTTTTGAAGCTATGTAAGGTAGATGCGCGAGTAAATGGAGGGATGGTGGTTCCTTGCTCGAGCCCCCTTCACCGTCCTTTCGAGGTCGCGGTTGAATTCGCTCTTTCCGCGTTAAGTTGCGCGCACCAAGCCCCGGTGCATTCGTGCATCAATTTTGGCGTTCTGAACTAAGGCCCAGGTCTCGCCCGGAGAAATATCCGCCCATCAAAAGGGAGGTAACCTGCCACCCTGCCACACGCTTTCGTCACTCCCATCAGATTTGGCTTGTTTGGCCCGAAACCTCTCTTGTTATAGTCTTCTATCGCTTGAAGGGGTTTTGCATTGAAGCTTTCATCATCTTTCCTCAATAATTTTTCGTATAGGCAGGTATATTGTGTTTGGACCTCAGAAAGCATGCTTGCAATAGGACAGCCTTAAAACCTCGCACACTGGGCCCAGCCGTCTCTGGCGCAATACGGTATGGTAACCGTAAAAGGCGAAGGAATCAAGGATTGCGCAGGATTTCGAACTGCGATAGCACTCACTCTACACAGAACGGAGATGGATTTCTACTTTACACCTACAACGTGAGAACAGACTCTTTCAATGCTGCCCTTCATGACCTCCTCGAGGCGATTAGTCATATTATTAATCATGTGATTGCGCAAAAAACTTGTTAGAGCGAGAGGACCGACCGAATGAAGAAAGCCATAACAACGAGGAGTCTTCCTCAAGCTCTTTGTTGGAGAATTCAACGGTAGGGTAGCATCAGAGGAGAAGGATAGTTGCAACTTCTCAAGTGGAGGAGACGAACGAGAACGGAAACCGTCCGGTAAGACCTGTACGCAGCTCAACTCTTCCAGCCAACTCTAATTCCCCAGAAGAAGGAACATTGCCGCTGGACATGGGAGTCCATAAGTGGTACAGTTCATGCTGAACTGGACCACATATTAACGAACACAGAGCGGTATTTACTGGACGTTGGCGTGGTACCATCTTCCTGCAGCGGTTCTAATCGCAGACTCCTCTTCGCGCTAAAATCTTTTATTTATTATTTCTTTGAAGTTTTTTTAAGTGGAACACTGGTACTTGTCCCATTTATGGTTGTTTTTTTCCGCCACCAAACCTTTTTTCTCCGGTAGACACGAAGCCTTTCAAATAACCTCTGCTGGGTGTTCATCACTTAATCACTGAAGAGCCACAGAACTTCGGATAATGACTGACATTGGTTCGCGTGTTTAAGAAAGTTACGAACCAGTACTATTATTTTTCCTGTTTATATTACGACAATTTCTTCTTTTCCTCAACAATACGGTAATGGATACAATTTAGTATAACAATTTACCAAAATGACAATCGGGCAACAAAAAATCAACAAAAGCTCATGTAAAGCACGAGCTATTTTTTAGTAAAATTACGACAACTCAACAAGGATCACAACAATAAATAAATACACAGCTATATAACACGACTTCCTTTTGTTACTTCCGCCACGGATCGTTTCTCCACAAACTTCTTCTATAAAAGAAACTATTACTATGGGATCAACCTAGCTATCAAAAAATTCATAATTGTCATAAAGACAGCTGATTCCAGTAATAATTTCCTCCACTCGACCTTCCTAATGGAGTTTAAATTAAAGCACCTTCCACAAAATGAAGCCGATGATTTTGATTTTGCTAAATTGGGCGGGGTGACCAAGTTTCGACTGACGCGCGGTACAGACGTTCCCACTTCCCTGTGGAATGCAGTCGGAGGCTGGTCAGTAAATGTGGGTGCAAGGCAATGAAGTTGCCCAAAGAAGTGGGCAAGGGGAGTCTCTGAGCCGAAAACTTGATGGATTGGCAGTCCTAATGGACCGAAGCTTATCCCGTTCTCAAGCCCTACGTCCTAACCGTCTCAAAGATACACAATCTTGGGTATAGAGTTCATTTGCACATTGGCGATTGGCGATCTTGGTTAACTGTGAAGACCCGATGGTCACTACACTGATCGTATGCCGTCACTAATTGACTAAAATAAGGTAGCTCTCCATACAATAAAGATTGGATATGTACTTTACTGAACTGCGAAAAGTCATCCAGAAAACCCTTCGATATGCAGTGTGAACTAGTTCCAAATAAGTGTTACCACATATAATCGTATCTGAAAAACTCAAACGATGGAAGAGTGATTAGCCAGTACACCATTCTCGACTCCCACTGCCCCATAAGTTTAACGTTGTAGGTAAATAAAGAGACCATTCAAAAACTAGAGAGGCTGATTTCACCTTCAGTTTCGTCTTTAACTTCTTCTTGTTTCGTTCGCCACCAATAGGCAACATATTCCTCTTTTGCAAACCAGCCATACGTTCATTCAGAACATGCCCTTGTGGTTTCAACAATCGAAGGGAGTCGGCCAATTCCTCCTTGAACAAAATCATCATCAACGGAATTATTTGCTTGCAAAATTAGATAAAGAACCTGAAGTAAAAATGGCTCCTCATAATCCTTGAATTCTCCACGTCCCAGACGTTGCCTCGTGGTCATCTATAATGATCAAAATTAATTATTCATGTATAAGCGAATAACATCACCAAGGTTAGAATTCCGTTGAACATCGAATACCTTTTCCAAAAATTTTTGTTTCTTTCTCTTCACAGACTTCTCGAGAGATTCCTTCTCGGCTTGTTCCAATGCTTTGTTGATACTCTTGGCTCTGAAAATGTTGATAGCAAAATCACACAAGTACAGGAAATCATGCAGCCCTGTATATCTTGCTGACAAGCACAATTTCAACGGTATTATCAATGGTTTGAACTTAGAAGTTTAAGAGGCTGCCTTGCACGAAAGCTCTTAGCTGAGAAATACCTGTAGACATCATGCTGGGCTTTCTCCACCTCTTTTCGCCGTTTATGTTCACGCTGTAACTTCTTCTCTTTGAGCGCATTTGCTTTCTGTTTTCTCGTTTTTCGCAACAGATGTGATACCGAAACCTTGTCATCTGAATAGATTTTACCAATCTCGAAAGAAAATCTTCCATTCTGGTTCAAAATACTAAAAATAATAAACAGCTTCCGTCATTGCGGCTTGCAGTTCTGAATCAGTAATAGGGAAGACTCGAAATAGGTTACGACAATTAATAAATGTTGGCAGATGCCACCTTCTTTCCAAAGCATATGCTCGTTTAGTATTGAAACGAAAGAACTACAGAGTCTCACAAAAATAGCCAAAAAATAATTTTTTAAGTGGAAATCCTTGTGAGGGTTGAAATGCTTACCTAGCCTCTATATAAAGAAACTAATCATTTACGAGAGCAAATCAACAAAAGCATGCACGAGGCTACAAAGCTCACTTTTCTCGTCCACGTGCTCCATTTCAACATCATTCTGGTCCTCCACCTCATCGCGATCGTCTGCGTTGTATCTTGGATCTATTACAAGTCCTTCAGTCTCTTCTAATCTCTTCTCAGCCTATAATTGGGCCATACAATCATTTCAAAAAGAGTCGCGTGGTCAAAAAAAACTTACATATGTCACAACGCTCTCAAACTTGGGCTTGCTTGCATTCTCGATTCGCTGCTCTTCATTAATAAGCTTAGTTTCCTCCATCGCGATCTCTTCGACGTAGCTCTGTGAAAGGCCAAGTTGTGAGGCAATTAACGGAAGCAAAATCTAATAGATAAGGAAATGTTGAGGAGAAAAAGTAAGGAAAACCTAGCGAACACCTGATAGTCTTCCGCTTTTGGATTATAAGACGCTCCAGCATCAGGCATCGTCACAGCATTTAATAAGCTAGGTTTGAATCGGCAAGTGGAAGGCATATTCGGAAGTTTCTTCTTAGTATATCGTAAAAGATGCTCCCCAGCTTCTTTGTATTCGATATCCACTTTTGGTACGAAATCTGAATTCATGACGGAAATATTTACGACGAAGACATAAATTCGGGAAGAAGCTACCTTTCTCCCACAAATCGTATGCATCCTTCTGTGGGACTGGCTTTGTTGGCTCACGTCGCTTCACTTGCTGCTTAAGCTTAGGTGGTTTTTTAGTGGGGAATTTGGGAGCGGGTAACGCTTGTCTCTCCTGTCTAAAAGCAAAATACAGATAATGAATGATGGCAGGTTGAACAAATGTTGATTTCTAGACGAACTCGAAATATTTCTTTCTAGAATCTATTAATATGAAGGTGTGTGTATGGAAAAGCTGCAATGTGACGAATATAAATCCAACAAAAGCCTGAAGTACACGACAACCCAATCCTATCGTTTTTCCGTTTGTGTGCCCCTCACCGATGGTCTTCCTAATAATACTTCAGAATCTAATAACGAAGAAAAAACCGAAAGAGCAAAACTACAAAAGTTGTTTGTTAAACTTTGAACTTTATTAAACTTACCCAATACTTTGAGATATTTTGTTCAAAGCAGCTTGTTGTCGTTTTGTATGTCGTACGGGCTCACTCGGAGTACGATCGATTGCGAACAATTCTTCATCTTTCTTAACTTCCATCGAATCATGTGTTTTGCCGTCTGAAAGAGATCATATACAAACGCATCCACCACGCCTAAATATTGATAAAGAAATTTTTGAGAGGCGCGTCGCGCGCGAAGGAATGTAGCAGGATGCAGCATAGGTAAGAAATACAAGAACACAAGTTTTAATAATAGAATTATGCATAAAATAACGATCGCATATCAATTGAGCTGTATGCAGAACACTAAAGCTGTAAAAACGGCGAATGAGTGGTCCGCGACAGCCGCGTGCGGCAAATCGATTACCCAAAATCGCTCCTAACGCCCGTCTCCCTATCCAGACCCATTAATTCATATCAGAATCATGACCTGCGATAAATTTTGCATGGCATGATAGATGTCGTGCATTCCTTCGAAAAGAAAAACCTTCGTTACCGCACTTTTACAACTTGTAATAACTAGAGAAACTACCGCAACTCCCTGATTTGGATCTAAATTTGCAACCATTCGAGCAAAACTCAGATTTCTTCCAATTAGACGAGCAACGGAAGTCCTTTAGGCGACAATTTAAATAGAAAGTCGGGCAGTCAAAGAAGATGTTATCCTCATCAGCGGAATCGTTGAACTTATACAACATAGAATGGAACTTGTTCAGCTTACATAAAGATTACAAGTTGCGCCTTTTGTGAGAAAGAGTTTCTCGTTAAACTTGGTACAAAGTAGCTTCCAAATATGATTGCATATGTAGCCATAGATCTCAATTCACTGGGAAGCCTTTCGCCATCGTGCGAAGGCTGATAGCACTTCTTTTCAATAGCCAAATTTTGCTGAGTTTTAGTCTTAAATAACCAAATAACAAGCCGGCAGGAATGAACATTTGGAAAACCTTGCTTTTCATCTTCGAACAAGTTTCGGACGCCCATCAAGCTACTCACTGTTCCAATATTAGCTCAAGAAAACTTCGATCCAATTCGTTTCCGTAACTCAAGAACATCGAAAATAATTGAAAATTTGATCAAAATCAGAACGAAGCTTTATGATAATGACAACCTTGTTTAGCATAAGGGGCAAAGTAACTAGCTGACGAAAAAAAAAAACGACAGAATTGCGAAAAAAGGACAAAACAAAAAACATCAAAAGTACCTCTGGTCTTAAAGGAAAAGAAAAGCGTGTGAAATAGGATTGCCTAGTCTTTGTTTAAAAGTGAAAGACGAGACTCGAACCAAGCTTCGAATGCAGCCCAGTAAGGACATTACGTCAAAAAAAAAAAAGTTCAAATAAGAAAAGAACTCCGTTCACATCGCTCAACGTCTCAGGGACTCAAGGATTACGAACTAGAATTGTAGTAAGTAGTAGTAAAGATTCTATTCAAAAGGCGATGAAGAAGCAACTTTTTGGGGCACTTTGAGACCAATATGGGGCAAGACATTTTGAAGCCTTGTATGTCCCGAACGTCTGAAAGAAATTCTGCTCAACCGCTTCGCTTTTATAAACTTCCTACAGGCACTCGATGCTTCATCCCCACCCCACCGAGAAAAATGATTGTATCTGGGACTAGGGATATTCATTCAAACTACTTCGGCACTGTAGCTCATAAGGTTAGAGGAGAGGAAAGACGCTCTCGACAACATTTTCACCTTGATATCTCTTAGCACTGTAAATTATGTAGGAAACTTACGGAGCACTTTCTCAGCATCGGCAACATCGGTCCCTTTCCGCCAATATTTCTTTTTGTGACGAGATGTGCGGGACGACGGAGCCTTTTTCTTGTTATTCAACGACACCATAATTTGTGCCTGAAAACAGAAAACGAACATACATTCAAAAATCAAAGAAGCGACATCCTACAAGAATTGCAAACACAAAAAAACAATACATGAACAGAATTTCAGAAAATTGCAAAGCTTTTCATCGACGGCCGCGTTGCGGTTCACAATGGGGCGTCTTAGTTGAATTTTCAGGCAAAAGACGTTGTTGGCTCACAATCAACTTGTGGATGCCCTGTAGAACTGAATATCGCCAATGTGCAAAGAACTACTTCCGATCTGATGTTTAATAGTGAGGGAATATAAATCAAGGAATGACAGCAGAAGCATGGGTTCACCTTCCACTCTACGTCTTAACGAAACTAACCTCATGGAGGAAAAACTCGATACTAGAGGTACGATCAGATCTTGTAAGGCTGTTCCCATCTGGTTCTTGCAAACTACTGATTTATGGAAAAAGGCATGATACTGAGTCCGCATTTGAGCAAGAGAGAGTGAAAGTTTTGGATGAAGGATAAATTCTTGGGGTTAAACTCGACATCTCTCTAGGCCAGATTTAATCAGCCGCTTAGTATTAGGTTAACGAATGGGCTGCATTTGATTTCAAGAATTTTACCCAATTCTGACGGCCCACTCTTCACTCGTTCTAGAAAGATAAAGGGTGAAGCCTTTGTGCGTTGTTCAATCCCGTCTGAGGGATGCGCCCACGCATTCGACTTCCATTCAGAATCGTAGTGGCGTATTGAATGGGTATGTGGCCTATGCAATGGCTTGCGGTGGTCAGCCGATGTACAATTCGGTGCTTTTATCCTCTCAGACGAGTCTGGTCGTAATAAAGTGTATTGTATATTCAGACCATAAATGACTACTTTAGAAAATCCGCTTTTCACAATGCATATTCTGTAGGACGGATTCCTTTACATTCCGACGACAGAGCGTGTTCTCTAGTAAAACTGGTGGTCTCTACTGGCATGTTTCACCGACACGTTTTCTTTTGCACTTAGAAGGACAGATATGTATGTGTATGAGATCCCGGCAGCATTTTGGTTCATTCATTCTACATTTCGAACAGTATCGTCATATCCTGATAGTCAGTTTTCTAGTGGTAGTGCGTACAGCTCGAACCGCTTGAGTGAAAATGTGGTTGTTGGATTTTACAGCTTGAGGAAGAAATAAGGTGGAGTCGAAGGGAAAGCCTGAAGCAGGCCAGCAGGCCACAGCATGTGCAGGCCAATCGCGCTCTTGAGTGAAATGGCCTTCATTTTAACTGGATGAGTTGGTGCCACATTAGCTAGGATAGAGAATGCATGTACTGTTGTCTACGCTACTCGTACCGTTAAGCAACTTCAGAATCAACTTAGAGCATCCTTGGGCAATGGAGTCGTCAGAACAATAGCTGAAAATGATGAGACAACGACCGGATCCGACATTCGACTAGTAACTTATGGTTGCAACGGCTTCATCTACATCGCAGCCAAAGGTGTTAGTCTATTCCCATCGGACGACTGTCCAGAAATATTTCCACAAGAGATGAATTATCATTCAGAAAGTAGCCGTGCTCAATATATGTGGACGCAAATGATACATTATATGCCTGTACGTGGTAATGTCATACTCGATGAATTAAGTTGGATCTGCCCCACAGTTCAGCATTGGCCAAATTTCAATTCCTATATATCGCCCCGTATTGCTTCATTGTTCACAAGAATCTTTTCCTTGGAATATTGAGATGGGAAGGGAGAAAGTATGAAAAGATGACATCTTTTCCTGCCCAGGATTTTGGTAGGCTTCCGCAAAATACGAGAAAGATTTTGTTCCGCAATACTAGAACCAAGCACGAAACAGCTGGTATTGTCTCTCCGTCTACGTTCCGTCGTTCTTCTAGTAACGATCTTCTAGCTTAGGTGAATATGGCTTGAGGCACTAACGAGAAAGGACTAGAGTCGTCGATACTTTGGGAAAGAAGAGCTTGAAATCAGGAAGAACGAATCTATGAGGAGGTTGAGTAAGTAATTCACAGCAGATGATAGTGGCAATTTGGGGAGCACTCACACGACAACGACACAGTTCATCGATGCCAATGCCTCAAGATAATGCGCATGCTACTCACTTACGCTGTGGAAGGGATGGATCAATGCTGGATGGGACTTGATTGGATAAAGTGGATGAAATAATCGTCAAGCAGTAATCAATCCTGTTTTTGGGATGCGCTCAGCAATCGCTTTTTACTCGGGTTGCAGTAAAGCTTTGATTTTTCTCGTATACGATGAATAGCCGTGCCCAGCAGATCCACATTTCAGTACTTTGACCTTCCAGACGAGTCTGGTACCACACGAGATCCAAGACAACTGAAATGCTTGGCTGGTCTGGGCTACTACCTAGCGAAATTAGATCCTCGGATCACCACTCCACTACACTACTTCCTCTACAGGCAGTCAAAATATCTGTGATTTTGAAAAGACGAATTTGTGGCATTATACGGTAGAATGTCAACCAAGAATAGATGCTCTTACAAGGAAGGTCTTTCAGGGCGTGGGACGCTTTTTGAAAATGGTTTT